ATAGATCGATACCGCCTTTTTAAAAATCAATTTGATATCACCATATAAAAATATATTTGAGTTTATTTTTCAAAGTGTCAGAAATGGATAACAAAACTGCTATTTTCAATGACTACTTATTTTTGTCCAGCTTTAACATCGGTATCGATATCAGTTATCGGCTACATGAGTTTTAAAATATCGGCATATCGGATATCGGCCAAAATCCCAATATCGTGCTTCCCTACTGTAATATAATATGAAGAAAGAAAAAAAAAATGCTAACACTATGTGGTGGTGGGAGGATCATCCACCACATGACTCATCCAATTACACTAGTTTTCACTAGGTGTGGACGGACCCAATGATCTGCATTGGATGGAGCACATGACGTGAAATAAATAATTATAAACATTAAACCAAAGCCAAGAGTAACTTTTGTTTTTAAAATGTAAGGAATAGAAAGTACAGATACTTGTGTGAAAATTGAATGAATAGAAGTCAGAAGTAGGAAGAAAAATAAGTAATGGAGTAAAGTATAGATACCTAAAAAGTGTACTTAAGTACAGTAACAAAGTATTTTATACTTTTTTACTTGACACCTCTGCTGTCATATTTGTGAAGCTGAAAAGTGATGCTGCTTGTTTTTTTTTTAATATACTTTACAAATAAAAATCTTTTAGTTTTGAACTTTTTCCTGTTAAATCCGGCTGAGTAAGAAGCGTTTTAACCAGATAAGCAGCCAATATGTTATTTGTCACTCAGGAGGAGCTGCAGCGCTTTATACCTCAGGTAGAAATATGGAAAGAGTTTGCAGGAAACTGTCGTTCTTCTTCCATTTTTCTAAGTGGGATCAAATTGGCGCTCCAAGCATCTCCAAACCATGCTGTCTCCTCCTTCCTGTTCCGTCACTTTATTACTCCGCCGTACAGACAGACTCAGGCCAAATTGGCGCATTATTTATTCAGTTCAAGAAGGGTTTTATTCATAGGCCTCATGACTGTTTCACCCTCGTTTTTCTGCCAGGCCTTTCAGCACCCAGCTTTCATCGGAAGTAGCATATTTGAATGTCAAAGAGTGTTAATAGAAAGCTCCAGGGTCAGGCTGTACTTTGACTGCTCAGTTGTTTTGAACAGGGAAAAAAAAAAGTTTTAAATGTATTTGCATAAGTTTTATGTTTTATAGTATAAAAGTGCCTGAATTTTAATTTAATGACGCTGCAACTACAAGCTTTATGCACGTTGTGTGAGATTACAGAGCAGTGAAAAGCGGAGCAATAAAAGGAAGAGATGTATTCACCAACACCTTTTTTTTATTTTTTATCTTCTGTTTTAGGTTCGAAGTTCCCCTGCACCACTCACATTATCCCTGTAAAAAACGAGGAGGGCGTGGTTATGATGTTCATCCTGAACTTCGATTACGTCCTGGACGACGTCAGCTGCGACTCGCTGGAGAGACTCAACCACACGTCTCCCTCCAAAGCCAACCAGCGTGAGTAGAGCCAGAAAAGGCTCCAGGGTGACACTGGTCAAACATTTCAGTTTTTAATTGTTTTTAGCTCATCCTGCAGGAACTAATCATCTGGATATTAAAGCCTTAATGTTGAACCACTCCTAAATTTGCCTCTCTTTGGTGTAATAAGTGCAGCTACAGGGAATTGCTTGCCCGACAGCCCTTTTGGCATGTTGACACCAGTCTTTAGTGGATACTGATGTTTGCCTGCTATCATCACCAAGGTCTGGCCCAATTATAGCTCATACCCTGCCAGGAAGGCCTGATGAACTACTTGAAGAGTGCAGTGAGAGTTGGTGTGTTGTTAAATGTGTACAATGCCATTCCCTTGAGGTTCACTTCTCCACCTCTAAAGCCTGTCTCTTTTTTTCCACTCTCCATCTCTTATGTTTAAAGCCCCAGTAAGGAGGACGGTAGGTCACCTTAGGATGACTGTAATTGGAAAAAGCAGCACGGCATTATTGGGGGGTAGAAAATAGGCAGAGTTCACTGTATAATCCAATAGTTTTGTTTTATTTTAGCGCAGACTTTGATAAAAAGTTTATACAAATCTGCGTCCCAGTCTGAATAATGCGTAAAAGTTCATTTTTTCCCCCCCTGTCATACCAGAAAGTGAAACATATTTTATATAGATCCATTACATACCCTTTGAGCTGCTGCAACATTCATTTTCCCTTTGGGATTATTAAAGTATTTTAAAAATAAAGTGTATTGAATTAATTAGGGCTGTTGTAAACGAATATTTTAGTAATCGAGTAATCTATCGATTAT